AAAAAGGGTACTGAGCCTAATATTCCCAAATAATATTACACACAAACTAAAAAATTTTCCATACTTTTTAACCACACATCATTCAAAAAACACTATTCCAAAATCAATTTTTTTTTTTCAAATAATAATGCTCAAACAAGGGCTATGAGTGACCACATATTCTCTCAATATTATTAGTGACCTTTAAGATGCTATACGTCCTACAGCCTCACAGAAGCAATGTTCTTATTTGAACAGTCACCAATTCTTTATATCTAGAAAATTGTTAGAAAGAATGAGCTACAAATAATGGACAATGCTACTCAAACAGGGAATTTTGACCGAAAATATTGAGATGCAATATCTGGCGTGCATTCATTGAAAATTGAAATTAAAAAATAAAATAAAATCAAGCGAATCACAGTTCGTTACATTAGCTCTATCAACTTTCGAGGTCAAAATTCCCTGTTCGAGTAGCTTAACTCAAGTATAATTCTGGCATTTATAATAAAAACTTGTTACATCAATTTTATATATTTGAGGTACAGTTGAACTTTAACTCTAGCATGTCCCAATTTGTTTCAAAGTTTTCAATGACAATGGTGCCATTAGATTATATTATATGAAAATGCAATTTTGGGTAGGTTAGGGTAGTTCTTGAAGAATCGTGCTACATGCACATTATCTGGTTTGAAATGCATGTGAGTTGACATAATTCTATACATTTATTTGAATAAAACTTTTTAAATAATGACCAAGTCTTGGCACATGTACGGGTGCCAAACAAAGAGTACAAAATAAGTGTACACCTAACTTAATTCAAATGAATGGTAGTTAAGAGAGATGTCAATTCATGGTAATGGTCCTCAATTGAAGCCATTAATGTTGATGGAGAAATTCTTATCAACAAAATGTACTGGATCCAAATTTTCAGCCTCACAACTTTCAACACATTTTGTCACCTTTTACAATATCTTCCATGTTAATGTCATATATATTGGTGCAAATATGAATATATATTTATATTCACTCATTTTTCTAATTAGACATGAAAACAAATATTTATCGCGGTGTATCTTGTGCCTGCCACCCGTCTATAATGATTGTCGCCACGATAATAAAAAAATAAATAAAATGAAAAGACTATTTGATTTTGATACATGGGATGTCGAATAATGATAAGTTAATATCTATTTAGAGGGTGTTTGGTGTAAATTAAAATTAGATTTTTAGTCGATCGTGATAGAAATTTTCGAAATGTGTGGTTGAAAATATGTGAGACCATGAAAGATGTGGTTAATATTAATTGTTTGATTTTGACTTAGATTAAAATCAGATTTTAATTCGGTCCAAACAGGTACTTTATTTGCACTTATTTGATTAACCGAGATAATATATAGGTTTCATTATTATCTAATAAAATAGTTTATGCTTTTTTTTTATGAAAGAAAATAGTCAAAAATGTTATGACATACAAAAAGACATTTTAGTCGATTAGATGAAACATTATGAAACTATTGATGCAAAATATGAAAATGACACACATTTAGATGTTTTAAGAATAAAATAGACACTAATTTTTCTTTTAGGTCCTGTTCATGGGGATTAAATTATGATTTTTTTAGGAATTCTGATAAAAGTTAATAAGAAATGTGGTTGAAAAGTTACGAAACATGTAAAATATATGGTTAAAATTTATTTTTCCCTTTGATCTTCTGCTTTATTCGTACTAATCGAATCCAATTTTCCGACTAAACCTTGAGTAATAAAAAAGACAGAACATGAGGAATGAACAAGTGGATAATACTTATTAAAAAGAAATTATTTGTTTGGCAGAAATTATGAGTTGTTGAAATTTATAAATTTATAAAATTGAAAGACCATAATCTAATTCATTCTCAGTGAAGTCATAAACAAAGTTTATAGATAACTTTAAATGAAGTTATTTAATTTCACTATGGACGCATTGTACAAAACTACACGTAGCATTTAGATTAGCAAAACGGCCAAATTTTATTTTAAAGAGGAAGCAAATAATTTATCTTCTACAAGGAAGAGTTCAGTTCTTGAGATTGCAAACATATTCCACGTTCTACTGCTTGAATTCCTGTTCCCAGCAAGTAAATTTTTTCCACATTGAGGGCCCATTTCTTCTTGGAAAATGATACATATTTTAGCGCGAGAAACGGTTAGAAATCGGAAATGAAGGGTCTTTTCTGGACCATCAGGTGTTGCAAATGATGACCACGTATATTTCAAATTCTATATATTATGTGACCATTATCTTTTCATTATCTCTTCTTCTGGTTCAGATTGCTCTGTACAGTAAAGTCTTGCTCGGAAAGTTACTCACAGTGAAGCTGGAATAATTTGTTTTGTCCGTACTGCATTTGGCTTCAAGGTTGTGTTTATTCCCCACTTTCAGTAAATTCTTTTTTATGTTGCATTGCATCATAATATTTCTTTTTCTGTTCATGTTGGAGTTTGCCATTTCTTAAAGATAGGGAAAAATAGTATTAATCTATGTTTACTTGCTAATTTTGTGTACTATCATGTTAAATGATTGCTAATTATGGGAGTGTATGATTGTTTTTTGTTTCTCATAGTGCTTCTTTTGTTGATTTCTAATAGAGAGAAATTACTTTGACATAGAAAATGGGCCGAGTTCACGATGGGTGCGATGAAATTCTTGTAATTCGTTCGCTGTGAAGAGAAATGGAAATGGAGTCATCAATTGCTGCTAATGGAGATGAAAGGCGATCAATAGAAGTGTTTGAACCAGTAGGAAATGGGGATGTTGGGATTTCTTCTATTAGTTTGAACGACAATAATGATTTGCAAGTACTTGAAATGCAAGGGGGAGTGTCTAGAATTCCTACCGGCAATAAAGAGGCTGTAAATAAATGGATGGCGTTTGAGGCTGAGCCTAGTGAAACTAAAATCACTTCTGCAAGTGATGAATCTAACATTGTTCAAAGGACTGCAGAATGGGGACTTACGATTGGGACAGATGCTGGAGATGGTGTCTTTCGTATGAACTCAAATTATTCATTTGGAGACGGAGAAAGAAGCAAGAACTCCTCAGAGAGATTTGGGGTTGGATCTATGAGGACATCAGAGGAATCGAATATTGGATCTGAATTCCCGAGGGTATCTCAGGAACTAAAGGATGCTCTGGCAACATTGCAACAGACTTTTGTCGTCTCTGATGCTACCAAACCTGACTACCCCATTGTGTATGCCAGCAGTGGCTTCTTCACAATGACTGGTTATTCTCCAAAAGAAATTATTGGAAAGAACTGGTAAGTTAAATATATTTTCCATCTGTATGTGTTCACATTGAAGCATTTGTTGCTTGTTCAGTAAGGTGGACTGCATGTGCTAAAGAAGAAAAAGAAGCTGAAATCTTATTTATGGTACTGTATAGTCGAGTTCAGTACTTCTCACGAAACATGTCGTTAACGAACTCCCGGAATTTGAATTTAGGATTGGAACTTCTACTCATCCTGAAATACCAGTCCTCATCTCTGAGTTTTAGCACTTCAAAATTATTTTCAAGCAATCTGAGAGAGATTCTTGTGAGATTTAACGCTTATTGATCAATTTTCTAATCTTTTATTGAAACTTAAGTGGGCATGATATTAGCACCTTGGAAACTATTCTCATGAAATCTGTATTGGGAAAATGTTTGCATTAACTCTTTAAAACCATTTTTTCTCATGTTTAAATATGCATGCATGTGTAAATTGAATTTTCATCTCTTTGTTTGCATAGTATATATTGTTAAACTATGAAGCTAAGCATTGTGCTTCCTTTTTAAGACTTTTAGATGTTCAACTTTTCAAGGCTGATAGGTTCCTGGAAATGAAAAGGACCTTACCACAGATCTCAATCCATATACGAAGTTTAAACTTATTTTACCAAGATCAACTGGTAAAAAGGTTTACCTTCGTTCTTCTTTTAGCTTAATTTTTTAATTTCTTTTTCTCTTCTAAGATCTATAATCAGAGCATATAATTCTTACTGGACTTGGAGACAAAATAACTTAACTATTGGATTCAAAACTAAGAAGTTTCTCTATGAAGAGTGAATTACACGTGTCTTAGTCGCCCCTACTGGAAATCATGTGTTTTCTTGACTCAGCTAGTTTGAAAGGTAGGCTTATTAGTTGAGCCATTTCAAAATTTTGAAATGGTTAAATAAAATGGAACCTGGGGACGTGGTTGAAGGTGGTCATCCTTTTCTTTGTTCAGCCGGTTCCTGCAGGGCCCTGAAACAGATCAGAATGAGGTGGAGAAGATACGAAATGCAACAAGAACTGGGAAAAGCTATTGTGGGAGGCTTCTCAACTACAAGAAGGATGGTACCCCCTTCTGGAATTTGCTGACAGTCACTCCGGTCAAAGATAACAATGGACGAACCATAAAATTTATTGGGTAAATTTTTCCTCCATTGCTGCTTTCTGACTGCAGTATAACAATTTCTCTTGGTATGACAAATGCAACACTTTCTGGCAGAATGCAGGTTGAGGTCAGCAAATATACAGAAGGGGTAAATGATAAAGAACTACGACCAAATGGATTACCCAAGTCATTAATTCGTTATGATTGTAAGTAGTTCAAGTTAGCTGTTCTAGATAACTAAATTCTTTTCGAAATCTTATTCTGTATGTTGTCTTAGCTCGTCAGAAGGACAAGGCTTTAGGATCCATCACAGAGGTTGTACAAACTATTAAGCATCCACGATCTCATATGAAGTCTCTGAGTCATGAAACCACTGCCAAGATTGAAAATGACAAGTTAAATCTAGATTATATGCTCCCTGGACCAGCTGAATTGGATAATACAGGTGCACCTGGACGGAAAACCTCTCAACTGGATTCAAGAAATGACTTACCTATTAAGAGTACTAGTCGGTATACTAGCAGCAGGTCTAGCAAATCTGGCCGCAATTCTTTGACTAGGTCAGATCTTCTTGCTTTCCGTTTTTCACTTCTCCAATGTAAACAATACTGTTCTATATGGCTGGTAACTATCTTTTATTGGAAAGGTGAGGGGTTGTACAAGAAACTCCATGCAAATCAAAGGAAAAGCAAACTTGATAGCCAATGACAGCATCTGTCTATTGGATAGCAATCAGTCTTGTTAAAACAATAGTTTAATTTTCTGCAGGTTCAAAGGGAGGTCTGCAAGTATGCAAGAAAATGAACTAAGAATCGAGCCAGAGATTTTGATGACGAAAGAGGTAGAACGAACAGACAGTTGGGACCGTGCTGAAAGAGAAACGGATATACGTCAAGGCATTGACCTGGCAACAACACTTGAACGCATTGAAAAGAATTTTGTGATATCAGACCCTAGACTTCCTGATAACCCAATTGTAAGATCATCTCTACATAGCAAAGTTTCAGTCCAATCTTTTTGTTCAGTTTCACATTGTTTTTCAGAAACTCATTACTCTTTTTTTTCCACACATAAATAATCATTTTGACCTTTACGAATTCCATCTTTATGTTTTATGTTTGTTACGGTTTACCTCAATGTCTAAGAGAAGTTTTCTATTCCATTTTCTTTCTTGCATCACTCTTTTGTTGATATCTTGCTCCAGATTTATAAAAATGTGGTTTTTAACTTGCAGATATTTGCATCTGATAGCTTTCTTGAATTGACGGAATATACGCGTGAAGAAATTTTGGGAAGGAACTGCAGGTATGAATGTTTCTACTTTGTGAAACTTCCATCTTAAATGCTGTTCTTCCATATCCCTCATGGTAGATGTCCTTTTGTGGAATTTTTCCTGTTTTTAACTTGTCACAGAAACTCATTGTTGCCTAATATAGTTGAAATAATTCCAGGTTTCTTCAGGGACCTGAAACTGATCAAGCAACTGTTTCAAAGATTAGAGATGCCATCAGAGAGCAAAGAGAAATTACTGTTCAGTTAATTAATTACACTAAGAGTGGTACAGTATAGCATTCAATTTTCTGAAGATACATGTCAACGTTTATTATGGTCTTGGACTTACACGTCTTTTTGAAAATAAAAAAATATAGGCAAGAAATTCTGGAACTTATTTCATTTGCAACCTATGCGTGATCAGAAGGTGCCTACTGATATCAAATCTAGTTTCTTGGTTATTGACCCTAAAGAATCTTTAATTAATTGAAACTGAAATTTTGTTCATTATCTTTCACAACTTCCTCAGGGGGAACTCCAATACTTTATTGGTGTCCAACTAGATGGAAGTGATCATGTGGAACCACTGAGAAACCGTCTCTCTAAGAACGCAGAGCAAAAGAGCGCTAAGCTGGTAAATCTTCTGTCATCATCTTTTTTTCTTTGTGAAGAACTTGGAGGGAGTTCACTGGGATTTTATCTATTTCTTGATCACACAATTGAAATCAAGTACAAGGAAGACGGAAGATAAGTACTTGCTGAAAAAATAAGTAAACAAATATGTTTGTCCTCGCTGTACTAGTTTAAAGTTTGAGATGATGTGGTTTAGCAGTGCTACTAAATCCTAAGATAGTAACTAGGCAGTGTGTAAAATGCCCACTCCCAAAATTTAGTTTGATGAGGAAATATGGAATTCAGGAGAGATCTTGCACCTGATCATAAACCAGATAGTTGAGCAAACCATCTACTGCTTGATTGCCCTCTCCCTGGAAATCATGTCCAAACATGAGGTTACACCAAAACCTTCTCATTCTAACAATATTTCAAGATATGAAAGGGACTGAAACATTAATCTTTTTGCATCAATTAGTATCTTAAAATTATCACCTATCATCACCAACTAAATATTAAGACAGAGTTAATGACCAGTTAACAATGCTTTTGCTTTAGCCTCATCTCTTAAGATACCTAGTAGCCCAAAGATGAACAATCCTATAATGATCATGAGCCAATTCATCTCAAGGAACAACTGAGTTCTTTTTCCAAACCATTTTAATTTCAAGCTTGTCTAGTTGAAAGAAATCTATATAAGCTATTTATATTGCCTGTGTTGGAAATAAATCCCACATCGCCTGTGGACAATGTCTT